CAACGTATGGGAAAGTGGACAAGGGACACACGCAATGCTGCCTTCTAAATGATCGATGATGGGCCTTAACTCGTTCGGGGTCCGCTCGTTGCTTACTGAGAAGGTCCGCCCCACTGAGAGTGACGTTATTCAGCTACCTATAATCGACACAAAAGTGAAGTGTACCATCCTTCTTCTTTACAAGGACCACTGGTGATGACCATGGCCTGCTTGATGGCTGTATTACACCGTCTTGAAGCATATCCTTCACTTGCTTTTGAATCTCGCGTTGTTCGGTTGGTGAAACGCGGTAAGGCTGTAGCCGTATAGGGTGCACATTGCCGTATGTGATGATAAGGTGTTTGGTAATCGATGTCTGACGGATTCTCGATGAACGTGCAAAACAGGCGTGGAATTCTATGAACAGGTCGTTAAGCCTTCGTTTGTTTTCGTCAGAAAGTGTTGGATTTATGTCGACGCCCCGGAGAGGTGCTTCGGCATTATCGGTTGCCTCGGAAGCAAAACACTCAGTCACATTGGTTACTGGGTAGGCATAGGCGATGGCAGTACCAGGAAAAAGGTGCCGGCGCTCGTAGCTGAAGTTTGTAAGAAGAACCTCGCAGTGGCCAGCCTGGAGATCTACTAGGCTTCGTGCTACGCAGACACCTTGGGAAAAGAGTAGGGATCGATTGCTCTCCGCCACCATTTCACCGTGTGCTGATTTGTTACACACCACTTGAACCATATTACTTGAGCGCGGTGGTATCGTCACACCATCGTCAATTACACGCAGACATACGTGATCGTGGCTGGGATTATGCTGTGGTGTGGCGCTTTTTGTTCAGAACGTGATGAGGCATTGTAAAATGTCGATGATAGCAGCGTGCTCCCTCAGAAAGTTCATGCCAATGATCAGGTCTCGAGAACACTGACGGAGAACTCTCAAGCTGACAACAAAGGTAAAACCACGAATCTGTATTCGTGCTGTGCAAACGCCGAGTGGCGTGACGATGTGCCCGCCAGCAGTACGAATTGGCCTGAGGTTCCAAGGCATCGTCACTTTCTTCAGGAGGGCAGCCTGCTTTTCACTTATTATAGAAAAATCCGCTCTCGTGTCAACTAAAGCACTGACTTTGCAACCGTGGAGCAGCACTGGAATGTCTAATGAAATCTTTGCGGAACCAGCTGGTGTCGTCGTCGTCGGGGAATCGTCAGTTTGCGGAAGCGTCAGTCGGAGGCTTTGAGCTTGTCTAGTATGAGTGGCCTCGCCACCGAAGGTCGTTGTGGTTGTATGGTATGAGAACCTGCCCGGTTCTCATACCATACACGTGCGCCATCCAAAAGACTGAAATAGACATGCCGCAGTTTGTCTGCGTTATCCCACTGGTTGTGCACGGAACGAACTCGTAATGAACAAGCCAATCTTAGGCATCCTTAAGTGCAGTGCCATGAAGGGGATTTGGCATTCGCGGTGTGAGTAAGGTGCATTGGAGCGGCGTTAATTGTGCTGTTCGTACCGATTGGGTTGGTGTTGGTGTTGGTAGGGCTGGTCGGAGCTGCCATGTTGTTTGCGAGCAGTCCAAACTCAGTGGATTGCCTTCGGATTCTTCTGCTGGCGCAGTGCACAAAAGTGACCACTGGTACGAAGTTTGAGTTATTGCTGTGTGGAGGGGTACGGTGCATAGATTACCCAGCACGTCCACCAGTTTGTCACGCACCAAGAGCGGTAGAGACAAGACAGGAACAGCAGAGCAGAAAGACATGTGCACGAGCATGTATCTTCAAACTAAGCGCTAACACTCACTTCTTCTTCGTTCTCTTTGCCCTTTTTGGCCGGCTAGGGCTTGCGGCTCCCAACTCTAGGTGGCTATACTGAAGGATCAAATTATGCAGTACTTTATTCACGTTCCTTAGTATTTGCATGCATTACATGGGGTGGAAGATGCAATAGCAATGCTGTGAGGTTACATTCACAAACCGTACTATCAAGCAACAAAAATTGCACCATCTCACGCTAAAGGGAACCATGTATAAATGCGAAGCAGCGGGCGCTGCTTCACATCTGTACACTGGCGGCGATATTGACGTACATCGCGGCGTAGAGCAGGAGAGAAACCTGGAGGGGCGCAAAGCACGCAGTGATCGATGAACCGGTTTTCCCTACTGTGGCATGCCAATCGCTGATAATGGGCAATGAGAGAAGGCTCTGGCATTCCGCTTTTAGTTAATTTTTTATTGTTTAACAACGCACATTAGAAATCTCCCACCAAGACTACCTTGGAGGTCAAGATCCAGTCCCTATTTATACGGGATGGTCAGTGAACGGTTGTGCAGTGCTAGCAGTCGGCTTTAAATTAGTCGGGCTATGTCAGGCATCCGGCGGTGTGCGTTCACCGGCAGGGGTTATCTTTCCGCTCTCATCCTCGCGCCTAGCAACTGGAGCATGTGGTGCGAGAGAGAGCATGTGCAGGGCTTCGCTCCTAAATCTCTTGCTGTTCGCTCTCTCTCCTCCCTGCGCCCCACTTTCCCGTCCACTCGCGCCTTGCTTTCGACCGTTCACTGGCAGCCTCTCATGAAAATCGGGATGGATGGATGGATGGAAAAACTTTATTTCGTCAGAAAGCAACTGAGGATGATTCCGTGTTAGATGGCCATCAACCCAAGGTTGGCGGCGACCTGTGTGGCCCACTCCACGACCCTTAACTGGACGACTGGGTCTGAGCTGGTCAACACAGCCTCCCAGTGCTCAAGAGAGGGAAATGTGCGCTGGAGACGCCGCTGTGAAACGCCATCGCCGAGCCGAGAACGCAGTTTGTTTTGTTCATTTCATGATATGTTTTAACCATGCACGCTGGCTAGAGCTGGAAACGCATACCACGTTTCTCGCGACAGAAAAACGCAACGTGAAGCGAACGGTGCTATTGGATGCATGGTCTAAGTAAAAAAAAAAAACATAATTTTTGTAGCGCAATGTTCTCACATGCGAAACGCAGTTATGGACGCTGCGCAATGAATACGCATTTCCTCACGATTCCCTTCGGGAAGGTGGGGGCATTTTTTTTTTTATGAAGGAAGAAAAAGAAAGTAGGGAGCATCAACGGAGTGAAGCCCACCTTGTCGGCCCAACACGTAATCAAAACGTCACAGCTTGCGGTAGGTTTTAGTACTCTTGGTGTTGTTCCGTTACAGTGTAATAGAAGAGTGTACAGAGTACTAGTACACTGTAGTTCTGTCCTTGAGCCACCTGCGTGAGCCGGCGAGTCTGTGCCGAATCAGAGCGTCTCCATTAAAAGCTACCGGGCGCCGTACTCCGAGTATCGGCAAGTATGGTTGATGGCGTGATTTTTCGCAAAAGGATACGTGTTGGGCCGACAATGCTGCAGCTTCAAAACGGCACAGCTTGCCAAGGCTGCCCGCGTGACGTCACTCTCCCCCCCCCCCCTTTTTTTTCCTCCGTGGTTTTTTCACTCGATAAACCCCCTTGTAGACGCTGCTTGCGTCGGCGTTGCGAAGAAAGAGAGGGAAAGCTTTGGAGAGAGGGGGGGTAGCGTATGCGCAGTGGCGGTGTGGTTAGCGCGAGTACAGTCTACTAGAAGGGGTTCTAGTACACTCTAGTGTGAGTTAGCAGACGCTCGAGTCGGCGTTACAAGGTGACACGGCCGAGCGCAAGCAGGTGCTAGGAGAGAAGTGGAGAGTAAGGCACAGTTGCTGAAAAGAGAGAAGGAGGTGCGTTGCGCATGCGCAGTGGGGGTGTGTTCGGAGCCATCGCCTTAGGTTCCTAGATAAAACAAGTTTCATTTAGGGACCTTACCACCGTCAACGCCGAAGCGCGACATCGTGCGACTAAAAAATGCTCCGCATTTAAAAGCAGTTAGAGCACAATATGAACAGTGAGAAGTTTATATATATATATATATATATATATATATATATATATATATATATATATATATATATATATATATATATATATATATATATATATATTGTTGGCATTATTCTACGCGTCATCTTATATGTACATACTCATCATCATCAGTCTGACCTGTGTTGTGGGGCAGAGGCCACGGAGGAAGGAAAAGGTAAGGAGAGGCCCTGACGTCACTCGTTGTGAAGCCGCGATGAAGCCGGAAGTCGGCCATATTGAATAGGCAAATTCTCCTCTCTTGTTTACATATGAATGCGAAGCAGAAGGCGCGACTCCCTCTCCGGCTAGGAAAGCACGTGGGCTGCGCAGCGCGTGTGTCGTGACGATCCGAAACTAATGTAACTGGGCTCATCACTCAGAGCCAGCGGGACACCTTCAGCGAAATCGCTTCGTCCGAGTAATAACAAAGAGTAACAGCTCGCTGACAACGAAGCAACTACGAAAGAACGCGCGCTAGATGCACTGACAACGGCGAGTGCTTTCACGTCATTAATTCAGCAACTGTACAGACAACACGATCGGTTGTGCGCCTTCTACGGTTGTATTCCGCCACGCGACTGACGCAGCGTCCTGCCACTGTGTCCGTGTTCCGCGTGAAACTCACCTGCGTCAGCATTCTGCGACCGTGGTGACTTTGAGCACGGTGCTAGTGACAGCTGAACGTGGTTGCTGTTACGTTGAGATTACATGCAATGCTGGTGGAGAGTGTACCAAGCGGAACAGAAAATGTGTTTTAATACGCACATGCAAGTTGTTACTGTACACACACACAACACGAAACTACGTATGTGCACACCCAGGCAAAAATCTTTTCCAAGTGGAACCACTTGAAGTGGATTATTGAACCTGGATTTGAAGTGGAACCACTTGACAAGTGGAACCACTTCAAATGGTTCCACTTGTCAAGTGGTTCCACTTCAAATCCAGGTTCCACTTCAAGTGGTTCCACTTGGCAAGTGGTTCCACTTCAAATCCCGGTTAAATAATCCACTTCAAGCGGTCCCACTTGGCAAGTGGGACCACCTGTCTATATCTACTTGTCAAGTGGTCACAGGAACCGCTTGAGCACTTCAGTGAAAACTGTAAACAGATATTAGTTTTAATAATTTATTACTTTACATGAGTGGTATACTTCAAGCATTTAGTTTTCTTTCTTCTTGTTGCGCCGGATGTCCTGTATTTTCTGCGACAAAATTGTCGACAAGTTATCCACTGTTTCTTTAACAGGAACACCCTTGCACGAGCCCCAATGTGTCACAGTGTCTGCAAAAAAAAAAAAAGACAGAAATTAAAACAGGCATGGGAGTCGCATAATTATTTACAGCACAAATCTACCACACCCTTACCAATAATCAAAGCAACCTTGTCTGGGCTCAGCTGTTTCCGCACTACCGCAGTAGGATTTTTGTAATCCTTGGGGGCTAGCTTCCCCCCATAGCTGCGTTCTGCCAATCCTTCACGGCCCCATATGGCTTGGGCCATGTCCTTTACCACAAGGGAAGGTTTCTTGTGGCCCAATATTTTCTCGGCTTGCTGGCTCCCGATGACTAGACCATTTTTCACATGATACTGCAAGTCAAAGCAAGCTGATTAGAAAAGAAATGAAGAGAGCACAGCGATCCACTTACCTTGCCACCACCAATTTCTGTGAATGGAACATCGGTGGCCTTTGAGTCAGCTGCCGATGAAAAATAATAAGTGAAGTTGAGAATTACATCAAAATGATAGCCTTGACACAATGATATTCAAAGCTTTTGAGCTTCTACCTGTGGGCAGTGGCTCTCCAGAAGGCTTGCATTGGCTCTGCAGGCTTCCTGTAGATGTGTCGACACATGATGCCAGCGACGTTGCTGTGGGAGCTGGGTGTGATTTCTCAGCTTGAACTTCTCTGCGCTCAGTCTCCGGAAAATCTGTACACAGTAGAGAAAAAGTAGAAGCAAAACAATTTACTGAGGCTGTTATCAAGATACAACTCTTTATTATCTAGTGAAAAGGCTGAAGGTTTAGCTTTTTGACCAGCAAGAAAGTTTCATAACATTAACATTCATGCAGGTGAGCATACTTCACCTGCAGGGGACTGCTGTGTCTGCTGTGCTTTCTTAGGAGGCGGGGCACTTTCGCTTGCCAGTGTTCCTCGAAGCTGCGAGGCACTTTTGCTAGTAAGTGTCTCTCGAGGCTGCCAGACATTTCCCCCTTGTAGCATTTCTACAACTGAAAAGATAAAAAAAAATTATAAAGATTTGCCAGTAATACTATGAATCAATATAAAAGCCTATAAAGTAAGGTGTTGCACTATCAGCTTCAAATTAAAAGTGAACAGTGGAAAGCATTAGAAATGATAGTCATCCAGTCAGCACCGTTGACAGATGCGCAATGCTCCAGTTTGGTAGCACTGTGCATTTCCATAGTGATGACAGGGCAGCACGCACTGTGCCACTGCTCATGCTTTGCACAGTTTGCATTTCATTCGATGCTGATAGTACATGCCACAACAATCTGAGAAAAGTGTGCATTTGGATAAATTAGTGTTAATGACCCATTCGACATAATCATTTCATCAGATGTACAGGGCTAGAAGAAAGCCTGAAATAATTAGTTGTTGGGGTCTAACATCCCCAAACCACTATATGATTATGAGGACCGCCGTAGTGGAGGGCTCAGGTAATTTAGACCACCTGGGGTTCTTTAATGTGCACCTATCTAAGCAAACATGCTTCAATCATTTTCGCCTCCATGAAAAATGCGGCCCCCAAGGCTGAGATTCAATCCCGTGACCTGCGGGTGAGCGGCAGAGTGCCTTATCCACTAGACCACTGTGACAGGTTGCATTCTACACTGAACAAAACCATGACAATGCAGTTTGTCGCAAATGATACCTACACTACTTAAACACATAATTGCGGACGTGCAAAGAAAATTGGTACTTATCTTTCAAATCATCAATACATCGCTGCACATGGCAAAATAAATATTATGTAACTCGGCCTAAACTTTACCGTGCAAGCAAGGGCTGTTTCATAACTGAATTTAAATGGCTATACTCAAGGCGAGTTGTATCACTGTGTAGATTTAATTACAAACCGTTCATGTTTATGGGTGTGCGGTGTCAAAAAAAAAGTTATATAAATCAAAGTAAACAAAAGCTAGGAAGACACTGATTTGTTTGACAAATTATTCAGTTAATATTGCGTTATCTGCTCCTGACATATATTTATACAGCAACATACATTATCTTGCACTTTGACATCAGCTAAACCTGTCCGGTAATGACCTTTTTGACGTCACATTTCACGATACTCTGTGGAAATTCAGGTAACACACACCACTGAAACCTTTTAGATTCTACCAAAGCCACATTTGACAACAAAGATATAGCAATCTAACAAACTGCGGTACACTTACTCATTGAAAGCTTGCAATCCATACTGTCCAATCTTTCATTCATGGCAGCAACTGTCTGTCTCAGTTCATTCCGCTCCCTCAGCGCTTTTTCGTAAGGCTCCTGCCAAGTATATTTCTTCAATTTTTTCTGGTTATGGCCGGTGATCTCGTGCCTTTTTGAAGATGACTGAGTACAACGAATAGTAAGGAGTTGAAAAAGATTGAATAAATTCGAGAAGTGTACATTTTAATGCTTACTTGAGACTCTCGGGCAGCTTTATTTTTTTCTAGCGCACTTGAGGCATGCTGACTCAGTATGCTCTCATAAGCAGCGCTTTTGGATGCTGCCTGACTTTGTTTGAGTTTTTTGTGTGCCTGCAGAAAGAAATGAAAACAAATAAGCAATGTTCGACTGAAACATGGCAAACGTTTAGAGCACTTAGTGTAGTACCTCTTTTGCAGTCAGTGTGCTGTTTGCTGCTGGCTGCTGTAAGTCGAGGTCGATAAGCTCTTCTTCATGCTCAATGTCTGAAGCATTTATTACAGGCCGCGGAAGACGCTTGTTGCTTCTTTGCTTATGCAACTCTTCTTCCGAGTCTGTTATGCACAAATATAAAGTCAAAATGCGTCAATATTAGATTGGAAAAGCTGCAGGCGATGTTTAACATGGGCACACACACATACACTCAAAGAAAGGTAAGAGTAAAGTGGGCTCCTTTTTGTCCCACAACAATAATTGTCGTCTTGCGTCATTCTTGTTGCATTATCGCCGCGCGCCCAGCACTCTACGGTCACGAACGGCGCGCGTTGTCAGCGTGACGTATATCGTTACTGGCAGGAAAGAGGGCAGTGCCGCGTTTTCAAGAAAGGCAGCGCAAGCAGGCCAGATGAAGATTATTTCTACTTCTTTAGTGTGTGCTTAACATCAGTTCTGCACCACTGAGAAAAGCAAATTTGTTCAGCATAGGTATTACATTTAACACAAAGGCAACAAGCTAGAGCATCGAAATTTCTGCATGGTATATATGTGTTGGTTAATACCGTGCGGCCGGCAAAAGCTGTTTAGCAAATATGATGACTCCCAACAGTAATCCCTCAAGCAGAGAAGCATAACAATTACGAATAGCATTATTTGTAGACCACACGACTATAAGCAAGTGGGAGCATATGCTCCTCGATTGCTCATGTGATATATCAAACAATGTGATATGTGCGATGCGTTTGGCATGACGCTACTTATGGTGTCAAACCGCAATAAATTGCTAGCTTCATTTACTTACCTGCCAGCAGCAGGATTCTACAGGTGTACGATCCTGTAATATCCGGGTCTTCGTCGATCCAGAGTGTGGTATACACTTTGGTTTTGTTAAAATCGTCCTTGTTTACCGGGTGGAAGCCCTTGATATTGTGGACGGGTACTACGTACTCTTTCTGATCAAAGCTATTTAAAAACCGCACTAATGCGTACATATTGCTCACACGTACGCCGTGTTATGGCTGTGCACCACGAGAAAAACGTGCCTGAGTCGTTAGCACTACACTGACTACACACAACGACAGTAACAACGGACGAAGGCATGCACGGTCACAGGGCACGGGCAGGTGTATAGTGTACCAGATTAGTACACTATAGGCAGGTGTACAGTGGTTCTATGCTTCGGCCATGGCTTGGCTAAAAACGAAGCCAATAACTCGGCCGCTAAATAAACGTTTTGTACGTCAAAACAACAGGCGTTGGTCAAAATATCAATTGCCATTATTTTACTCAAATAAACAAAACACATAAAACAGTATCTTGTAAGCATTTATAATAACTACTTTGATATTTGAAGAAGTCAGTAAGCCAGGATTGAATAACTCTGATGGTAAGCCAGTCTCAACTGTTTGTACAGTCAAGCCGCGCCAAGCCATGCCATGAAGCATGTGAATGTCAGACGTCTTTTGTCACATGTGCGTCGACGTCGTAAACAACGTTTGATTGCCTATTAACTGTCTTATTATTCGTTCTTCATTTGAACCTCTTTGGACCACTTTAGCGTGCCCATCAGAAGCAAGCTGTGACAGGCGTGATGAGCACGAGTAAAAATAACCGCAAGCGATATCTAGAACCCGATGCGTGGAATGATCGTTTGCCGAAATCTACGCATTATGAAGTAAGAAAGAATGCTACCGCGCGTTCAACACCGCCTGCTATGGACGTCGGTTCAGAACATGTGGTCACAAGTGCGTCTGAATCCTCGGACGATGATGAAGCATCCGTGTCAGTCGAGGACATTGGACGAGAAAACAACATCGTAGGAGAAGAGTCGGCTGGCGACTGCGACACCGACGATGAATTGTCAGATCAACTCTCAAATGCGACGGAGCCGTCTGATGCTCTGCCAAGCTCCAACTTCTTTCGGTTGGAGTTTGCGCGCCCGCTTGGCAACGCAAACACCTTGTCTGTAGGGGATGCCCTCGTGCTTGTAATGGACTTCGCAATTAAGCATGGTTTGTCGTGGACTGCCATTGAAGACCTGTTAAAATTATGTAATAATATTTTAGGAACGAATCTGCTTCCAAACAGCAAGTACCTGTTCAGAAAGTTCACTGCAACTTCACCACAAGATATGAAGTTCTACTTTTACTGCCCGTTTTGCAATCGGCTGCTGGCCAAGACAGGTGGTAGCTTAAGTGAACGCAATAGTCTGACTGGTATGTGCTGTGGAAAGGGCTACACCGGCCGGAAGTTGACAGCAGATGGCTCCTTTTTTGTTGGCTTGCCATTAAAAAAGCAAATTTCATCCGTGCTCGCTGATGATGGTTTGAGAGAAGACCTTTACAAATCATTAAATGAAAAAAAAGACACAGAAAATGCTAGTGTGTCAGATGTGACTGATGGTGCCTTCTATCTGACCCAGCGAAAAAAGCTTGGTTGCCAGAAAGATGACATCACATTAACTGTCAGTGCAGATGGAAGCCCTGTATTTAAATCAACTAACTACTCCATTTGGCCTGTACATCTGACTGTGAATGAGCTTCCACCACACAGACGGTGGAGCAACATCATTTGTGCGCTCTTGTGGTATGGTACCAAACATCCAGACATGACATTAGTTCTCGAGGCATTCGCCGAACAAATGAACGAACTCTCTACTGAAGGAATCTGCTGGAATGTGAATGGTCGACAAGTGCATTCAAAGGTATCCTGTGTCTCCTTAAAATATTGCACCTATTCAGTTTTGTTTTACTCACGCAGTTACATAGATGTAGTGCTAGGAATGCAAATGACAGCCTTCTCGAACTTTCTAGGTGTACTGCATAACTGCTGTTGCTGATGCACCAGCCCGGGCTTCCATGCAGAACGTCCTACAGTTCAATGGCTATTATGGCTGTTCCTGGTGCCTACATCCTGGAGAATTCATTGAAGGTATAATAATATCTACCTTTTTGCTGGTTATATGTGTTTATGAGTGTCACCTGTTATTTGTGTTCTGCCAAAGCTACATAAGTCTCGTCTTAACTTCTGCAGGATGTGTGAAGTACCCTGTTGGTTCAACTTTTGAAGACAGGACTGCAGCTAGCATGTTGACTGACATGCAAATGGCAGCGAAAATGAAGCGCTCTATCAAAGGGGTGAAGGGGCCATCACCTCTCCTCAACGTTCCTGGATTTGACATTGTCTGGAGCTTTCGCCCTGATTACATGCATGCTGTGTTGCTTGGAGTTGTACGCCAAGTCACAGAACTGTGGTTTTCAGACACAGGAAGGGCATGTTATATTGGGTCTCCTCGGACATTAAGGGAAGCAGATGAGCGTCTCCTAAGCCAGAGACCTCCAGTGTGCTTTAATAGAACACCGAGATCTCTTAAGCTTCGAAAGTATTGGAAGGCATCTGAGTGGGAGTCTTGGCTCCTCTTCTACAGCCTTCCATGTCTGAAAGGCATCCTGCCAGCTCAGTTTCTGGAGCACTTTGCTCTCCTGGTGTCTTCAGTGTATACCCTGTTAAAGAGTCATGTGACATCACAAGAAATTGACGACTGTACATTAGAAATAACAAAGTTTGTTGTCATGACCGAATGTAATTATGAGAAAGCACAGATGACTTCTAATATGCACACACTGCTGCATTTGCCAAAGAGTGTGCTACTGCATGGACCACTTTGGGCTATCTCATGCTTCGAATTCGAAAGCAACATGGGTAACCTAGTAAGACTTGTGTCTTCATCAAACGGTATCCCTTTTCAAATCTTGTCACGAATTCTTCTAATGAGCAATTTTAATCAGCTTCTATCTATGGCATCAGAAGAAGTTAAGGAACTTTGTTTGCACACAAAAAAAAAGTGCATGGGAGTAAAACTGCTTGGAAAACCACAGGTGCCTTCACATGACCTAATGGAATTCGTAAATGGCAAAATCACTGGTGTGCAAAGGATTGAAGAGCATAGTCGCATCTGTGTGAATGGATGCATCATGCATACTGATAATTACAATCCAGGGTCAAGAAAAAGAGACTCAACTGCAGGGAAATTAGGAGATGACTATGTGAAAATAGAGAATATATTCAATGTCTGTAAAGTCGATGGAAGCTCTGAGATTTTCATTGTCTCTCACAATTACCAAGTGAAGAGTTTTGAAGGAGTAAGCCACCTAAAAGTAGCACGCAAATGTGCTTCAAAAGCTATTCATTCAATTTCAAGGTCTCTTCGTCCATGCATATACCTTAATTTGAATGGGACAATGTTTTTTGCGGAGTTGTGCAATCGCTATGGATCATTTTAGTGAAACAGTGATGATTCTCATTCTATCTTATGTTCACTCCCAATCATCTAAATTTTATCCATGTTACTTTTGCTGCTTATTCTGTAGAGTCCACATTTTCTCACTGTTCACTGTTAGCTCACTGTTAGTCTTTCCTAAACCTCTTTTTTTAGCTGTTTCGATGCTGTGAACTTCTTTTACAGCTGTCTCTACGACATTCAAGTTGTAGTTCCTCACACATCTGTCTGACTTCCTTTTTATCGATCAACCTCGTCAGCTCAACCAGTGTTTTTTTTTTTTTTTCAGATCTTGAGTTGGTCATGTCACGTGCTTCTCTTTGCTTTTTCAATCATTTGTGGTTTTTGAGCTTTCAGTTCTTGCCTTAGTGCTTTACCTCCAACTTCAAGTGCTGCTTCAGAAACCATTATTGTTACAATTTTATTCATTCCCTCAATGTTGATATTTTCTTGTCTTAAAGCACTGTATTTCTATCGAAGCATTGTATTTTACCTAATCTCTATTTTTACTCTGACTTTATTAGGGTTGGCCGTTCTGGCAACTTGCTTAGCTGAAAGTGGTACATTTGCTTAAAGTGACAGTCTGAATTTCTGAGAAACCTCATTTTGGCAATTTTTTCAGAATGTGTAGCACAATGCTCTGTTAAATCCACTTTTCTTTCTTCACATTTACACTACAGCTACTTTTAATAACATCCCCTAACTTTCCTTTTCCTAATAACATCCCCTAAATTTCTGACCGCATACACTAATCAACTTTCATGTGACAGGGCACATCGAATAATTTTAAGTTTTTGCTACCGGATGTGCTACAGGTCATTTTTTGCAATCTTTATTAACGAAATAAAGGCATAAATTCACTTCTCATGAGAAAAACAGGGTTGGTTTGAGTCACTATGAGGATCATTCTTTCCATTCGTGCAGTAACCTCATTTCATGTTCTGGGCAGTTGTTGGTCCCTATGAAGGTTGTCACTTATGTGTAGACATAAGTTCAACTGTTTATTATTTTGCTTAATGGAGTACTAGGCTTAAAGCCTCATAAGTACCAATTTCACATATATTTATGCTATTACTTGGGTAAATTGTGTATGTATTTATTTACGTCTGTCCCTTTTTACGTTTGTTCCTTTTCCTTAATTATAGAAGCATAACTGAACCAAATATTAAACTGCTTGGCACAAAGTGGAACCTGTTATGGTACAAACTAGTAGTACTGTCTTAATATTCACTTGAAAACTTGTGAGACATATCACTTATTAGAAGCTGTTTCATAGCAAGTGAAACTTGAATGCATGAAGAATCAATTCAGCACATTACACTATAAGTAGCAAGGAAGCAGGACTACTTGTGAGACAACTTTGAATGTTTGAATGTTTATTTTCATATTCTATGTACATATTCTATGTACAGATAACAAACACTTGTTGGACCTATAGCCAAAGGCTAGTGGAAGGTCCAAATAAAGAATACATATAAAGATTTCCTAGCAAAGCAGCGAGAAGAGAAAAGAAAAAACTGTGGTAATTTTCCAGTATACAAAATATTCAAGATTATTTGAAAATCCATAGTAAATCAATTCAACCAACAAGGAATATACATTACAGTACCAAAGAACAAAGTATACGGGCTACATACAGATGCAATGAGAAGATACAGTGCCATTGATCAAGAAACTATGTCGTACAAAAATCTATACATTTGAATCAGTAAGCAATAAGATGACTATAGGTGACCTGTAAAATACGTACCCTATGAGAACATAGAGATATGGCCATATGTTACCTAATAATACACACTATCGCGTGTCAGTAATTGCATAGAAAGAGCAGTAACCAAATAAGTATAAAATTCACTA